ATATATATCACTTCCTTTGGTCTGTTCCTCCATCCTGGTTATTCTTTTCTTTTGAGCAGTTCCTTTGCTTTCACAATATACATTGTACCTTTTGCATTTTATTTATGCTTTCAGTTTCTCACAACAGGGAGATAAGTGTTGTTTATCAAATTGGGCATCATTTATTTCACTTATAAGTATGGCCTCTAGTTGCATCCATTTACCCACAAAAGTCTCAAGTTTATTTCTTTATTGGTGAGTAATACCGTGCTGTACACAAATACATCTTCCATATCCATTCTTCAGTTGATGTGTGTTTTTGTGTTGTTTCCAATATTTACATATGACACATTGCACCACTATAGACATGGGGGTGCACCTATATCTCTATGGTATGATATTTATTTTGATCTTTGTACCTAGTATGTGTTTTAATTAAAAGAAAACTTATATAGTATTTACATTTGTGTGCTTGATTGATTTCACTGAAATTAGACATTCAAAGTACATACACTTTTTCTATAATCACTGAGGGCCCTCTTTTATTGCACAGGGATATTCCACATTGTTATTAATAATACCATACCTTTCCCCATTCATCTGTCAATTGAAATCTAAGTCACCTTTAAGTTTTTTCTATTCAGAATGTGTGTCACTCTGGCAATCACAAGACCCTGAATTTGATTCTTGATATAAAAAAAACAGAAAAAGAATTTTGTTGCGATGCACATGGTTATGCAAGACCCTGTGGAAGTTGACTGGTGTACAGGTCTAAGTCAGCATCCATACCACCACCCAATGATTCCCTCCAAATTCATTTTGTAAAAGGCCCATATCCTTGGAGTTTACGCAGCTTCATAAAAACCAGTATTACCAGTTCCCCACAGCTCTACTAGCATTTGCTATTGGTTGAATTCTTGTTAGCCATTCTTTCTCTGGTGAGATGGAATCTTGATGTTGTTTTAATTTGCAGTTTTCTAATGACCAATGATGATGAACATTTTTTCATATACTTATTTTCCATGTGTATGTCTTCATCTGAGAAGTGTGTTCATCTCAGATGCCCATTTTTGCATTGGGTCCTTAAATTTTGTGAGCCTTGTTTCTTTCAAATTTTTTTTTCAGAACTGGAGATAGAACTCAGGCCCTTGCACTTGCCAGGGAAGCACTTATTCTATTGAGCTATCTCCCCAGCCCTCCACAAATCTTTTCAATATAACGAGTCCAAGTTGTTATTTTTTGAGGTGCTTCCCTTATCGTCTAGGTTTTGTTCATGAATTCTGTGCCTACTCTTATGTCTTCAATCTACCTACTTGCTCTTCCAGTAGATTTAGTATTTCTGTTTTAACACTTAGAACTCTGATCCATTTAGACTTTAGTGTACTATGAAAGAGGAACCCTCTTCCTCTTTTGGTGGAAGGGTAGACTGGTTAAGCCATTGTAGAAATCAGTGTGGAGAATTCTCAGAAATTAGAATTAGTCATTTTTTATTCACTTATTCACTTTCTGGGTATTTTTCCAAAAGAATTGGAAATATCACAGCACAGAGATATATGTGCCCATGCATATAGAAGCACAATTTGTCCTAGCTAAATCTTAGAAGCAACAGGAATGCCCATCAACTGAAGAATGGATAAAGAAGATGCAGTCTTTATGTACAATGCATTATTACACAGCAATAAAGAAATAAACTTGAGGATTTTATGGGTAAATAGATGCAATTAGATACCATACTCATAAATGAGATAAATAATGTCCAATTGCATGAACATCATTTTTCTCCCTCATGTAAGAAATTGAAAGCATAAATAAAATAAAAAAGTACAGTAGATATTATGAAAGGCAAAGGAATTTGTTCAAAAGAAAATAACTGGGATGGAGGAAGGAACAGACCTAATAGACTGAAAAAAAATATATATCTAAGATAATTGTACTGCTTATTTCTATTGGGTAATTATAAGCAACATTTAATGCTTAACTGCTTGATAATTTTTTATGCCTAGGTCTGGTAATCTAAACAACTACTCTGAAGATAGTAAAACACATTATAGCAACCATTGTTAATTTCCTATGATTTTGTTCTGAAATTCTGTTTTATTTGATTCAAATTCTCAGTGAAAAGGCCATGGGAGAGGCCCTGTGGGCTCCTTAGGCAATTACAAAGCCAGGATCTCAGTCAAACCACAATTCAAGAGTGCATGGAGGTCACCAGCCCCGTTCAGGGGTTTCAGTGTCTTCTTGGCTCACCAGGTTGCTTGTCAGGACCCAGTAAGGAAATGGTCTCACTTAGGAATATCTGGAATCACCATATAAAAAACAATATGAGACCCTAGGCTTGAGCCATTTGGCTTCACATTATCAAAAGAAGTGATCATAGGGAAAGTATTGCTCTTTTTTACCACTGAATGTCAAGGTGAAATCCTGATACGCTATGTCCCAAGACATTGGGTACACAGCAGCAGAGTGAAGTCCATCTTCTTAGGGTAGGGGCCTGAACCATGTTATCATCCTGCCAGGGCTCCACTTTTAATTCTCCCAGAAACCTTACCTCTCAGTTCTCTTACACAGAGACAAGGATGGTTTGAGTACATGATTGCTGTCCTCTTCTGAAGTGACTCAGACAAGAAGGAAATTCCCTGAGGATCCCTGATAACCTGAATGTTTATGAATATAGTGACAGATGTGTGGGTAGAAAGAGGGGCTCAGGGCCTAATCTAAGGGGCCTTGGTAAGGGCCAGGATCTGGGCTAAGAGGTCTCAACACATACGCTGTGTCCTTTCTTGTCCAGAATATTCACTGTCATCTGCAGCAGCATCCCTTGAACTTTACAAAGTCCAAAAAGAACAACAGAACCTATGCAAGTAGACATGTCTTTGCCACTGTAATTTTTCTTTTCTTAAAGGTCTTTATTTGTTTTCCTGAGACCAGGTTTTCCTCTCTGTTTTATTCATATCTGCCACTGTACTTGTAGGTCAGATGCACTTCTAGATGATTCTTATCTCAGCATTCTGATTGCTGAGATTTCAGACCAGGGGAAAGCACGTCTGTCACATCCTCTGTTGATGTGCTTATGTTGTAGAATTAAAGAATAAAGAAAAAAAATTTGAGAAGTAAGACAAATTATTTATTTTAGGTGCACAATTCATTCTGTGGATGCATATACAAGGAAGCTGAACCTCAATCAAAGGAAGGTTCTAGCATTTCAACATTTCATGAAATTGAGATGGTGTTTGGGAATTTGGAAAGGTAAGGATGCAAAGAAAGTCACAAAACAAGAAAAAGGCAGCTACTTGCTCAGTGAAAGGTCCACCACTCAGCCTTGAAAGACAACAAATTTAAGGAATTCTAAGATACCAAAGGACTCATTACAGAAATACACTTCTAAACCTTGTTTATATTTCCTGACAGGAGGCATATTCCAGTACAGGAGAGGGCTCAGTTTAGGAAAATATAATAGTATACATTAACACTATCAGAGCCAAGGGCAATGGTCACATGGAGGAGGTGTCAAAGAGTATTTGCTCAAGACTAGGAAGGAAAAGACTGCTTTCCTCTAAATATTACTTTAGGTAGAGTGAGTTGCATGTCTGTGTGCACACAATCCCTGGACTCACAGGTTCAGGTGTGAGAGTGTCTATCAACTATACTTGCTGACACACAGGCTGTACTGATCAGATGAAGTTATGATGAACAGTGAGCACAGAGACATAGCTCTGGACACAGTGAACAGCTCAGGGTCCATCTCTCCCATCCCACTTGGTTTGCCCTCTCTTTACATATTGCACAACCCTGACTGTTGTGAAGGAGGGTGTATCTTAGCACGTATTCTGGAAGAGCTGCTGGCAATAAGCTCTCTAGTTCAGGATTTGGCAAAGCAGGGATCTGGCCACACATGTAGACCCAGGTTGGGTACTATAAGTAGCCTACTCTAGGCAATTTCTCCAGACGACCTCTTTCTTTTTCAAGACCAGGCTGGCAAACAGCTGCTGTGTAGCCATGGCCCTGTGTCTGCTGTGTCTGGGTGTTATTTTCCTGGGTGCCCTGAAGATGCAAGCTGAGAAGTCTCTTCCAACTGCTACCCCAACTCCACCACTGAGCAAATTCCCCCAGCAGCCAGACTTCCAGTATGAACAGGTAGGTTTCTCAAAGAGAAGATTAAGAGGGTTAATGAATGGAGAGAACAGGAAGAGAGCAGGGAAGAAGCGATGAGACTCAACAGCAGTGTTGGGAAGGAGGACTCAGAGAATCCAAGGCTCATGCATGTTCAGTTGGAACATCTGCAGTCTTTATTTCCAGTAACAGTGTGAGGTTCTATAAGACCCACCTGACATTTCTACTGGGGAACTCCATCAATAAAATCTCAGTGAAAACTCCAAAGTCATGATCATCCTTGTGTGTGTAAGATCAAAACTGTTGCTGTCTTCCCAGAGTAGTTTATTCTTTGGGCTTTGCTACCAGGTGAGCTGCTGTCCTGTGGTACCAGTAGACACAGCATGGGAATTGTGGGCCTGTGTCGTCACTGGGTTTTGACTATCATCACATCCTTGCAGTTCCAGGGAAAGTGGTATTGCGTTGGTGTTGCCCAGAACACGCATTTCAATGAAAGCCAAAACGAACCAGTCTTGCAAAACACCATCTATGAGCTAAATGATGACCACAGCTACAATGTCACCTCTGACTGGGTCAGGTAAAGCTGTAACATCCTGTGGTCTAACAGGTAGAATGGTGACATAACCTATGTGTTAACCTACTGAATGAGAGTGTCCTTGTTCTCATTGCTCTATACCAAGTCAATGTTCCTCCCTTCTTTGCTTTGTCTTCCCTAAGATTCTTGCTTACTTATTTCTCCTTTTCTGTTGTTTCCTCTGTCTCTTCTTCCCACTCTTGCTCAGTCCCTCCACTGATATAAAAAAAGTAGTTTCAGCAAAAGTACAGAAGGAGAAAGTTAAAAAACACTCATTTATCCCAGAATGGAGGAGGGACATTGGTTTCTTTAGTAGATCTTTCCTATGCTACATTAAATATTTTTTTTTCAAAGTAGGCTGAAGTAGTTTAATCCTAGTTGGTCTCCCTTCAGAGGTCAATTTATGAAATTCACAAGTTTGAATTCAATCAATGAAACTGAGTAGACCCTGTCTCAATTTTAGAAATAAAAATGAACTCATGTATATAGCTCAATGACAGGGTCATGTGTTCAACAACTGTACCTTTACTACAAACACTGTCATCACCCATGAAGAAAAAAGGAGCTTCTGTCATAGTAAGAGCTGCTGGCCTCACTTAAAACTGCAGCAGAACATCCATTCATCAGTATGGCTGCTGTGCAGGGAGTGAGGAACTTTTGGGAGAGACGCAGTTCTAGACTGAAGTCCATCTTAGTGAGCAAGCATCTGCTGTGGGGCTCAACAATTGGAGCAAATTGAAGCACCTGAAGCACAAGGTTGACATAACAGCCATATTATCTGAAGTAGTCTCGGTAGAGGAGGAAAGATATGTGGCAGAAATGGAACACTCAAGGTATCATGTACTGACCTTTTTGCAGTTCGTTTTCACTTTAACCACTGGTTAGTTCCCCCATGGAGCATTTCAGAATTGAGGGGATGGGATTATGGTGTAAAAGTTATCTGTACTCTGATGAGAGATGAAATTTTGCTAATGGCCAGGATATTGCTTCACATTGAATGCAATAGAAACTCAGAAGAGAGTTGCATGAAAATTTCAAAGAGCATAGCAGTAAAGTGAGTGTAGTGAGTCACTGCATGGGACTGTTTTCATCAGGCTGCCTCAGGATGGAAGCAGGGGTGAAACAGTGGGAAAGGGTGGGTTAAAGCAACCCTGCAGAAGGCCATTTGGATGTACAGAGAGGAACTACAAGTACCACCCCTGTGGACCAGATGGGGACCCTCTCATAATGAAAGATAGGTTTTGCTGGTCTGGTACTTCAAATCGTACTGTAGATCCTGTCCAGCTTTCTACAACCCAGGAATAGGGTCTTGTGTCTTCTCCTTCTTCACCTTGGTTAAGCACCGTATGCACTCTTACAGGGATGGGAAATGTGAACACGATAATGGGATAATATTACCAACTGATGAGCCAGGCCTGTTCTCCTTGCAAAATGTGACACGTGAGTCCTGGGTGAGGGAGGTATGAGCTGGCATTCTGTAAGCAGTGTCCTTCCTAAAGGAACAGGCTTCCTGCCCTCCCACCCAGATGCATGCATTGAAGAAGCTGATGCTATGGATTGGGTAAGATGGGGACAAAGGATGAGCCTTAACACCCATCCTACAGGTTATGGTGGAGTACAGAATTTCACTGTGCAAGTGCTAGAAACTGACTACAAGCAGTATGCCATGGTGTATTTAGAGAGGATTGTTCATAACATGGTGTTCTTTAAGCACGTGCTCTATGGTGAGTGATCCCTGCATATCCTTAGTGTCTTGGTGGGAGGGACTTGTAGAAACTTTTCCCCAGAAACAAGAGCCATAAGGTTCCTCCATGTCAAAATCCCCACTTAGGGAGTAGGGCTTTCCACACCTCATTGGGAAGGTTCTCTGAGGCTATTCCATCAGGAAACAGTGTTTAGGCTTAGGAGTTGTCACACATGTGTAAATACAGTACTAGTTTGGCTGAGCCAGGAAGGTCAAAAGTTTGTGTATGTATTTATTTTAATTAATTAATTAATTATTTGGTACACATTCTCACTATGCAGCTTGAGATTATAGTGATCCTTCTATCTCAGTTTCTCCAGGGCTGGAATTATGTGTGAGTGCCACCAAGCCAGTTTTAGTGTGCAGGACAGCACAGGGACAGCATATCATGTAGTACCGAGATCCAACCCAACTCATTCCACTTGCCAGGCAGGCGCTTAGACCACTGAGATAACTCCCTGGACCGAGGATGGTTGAAATTTTAAGCACAGCTGCAACACATACCAAGACAAAGGCGTAAAAGTAAATACATTAGAGAAATCCCTTTATTTTGCTACTTGTTCCATTTGGGACACAGGGAGGAAGAAGGAATTGAGTCCTGAAATGAAGGAGCACTACCGTACCGTGGCAAAATCTCTGGGCGTCCCCGATCGCTATGTCACATTCACTGACCAACATGGTAAGGGGTATCTGCAATGATGCAAGTGGAATGGTGGGTGTGTCCATGTCTGATGCTAGTGTATGAGGCACAAAAGAGAGAAGACCCTTCCTTGGGTCTCTGTGTCCTCAGGTCTCTTGGCATCAAGTACTTCCTGGGACAGTTTAGCCAAAGCCTGCCTAAAGGACTGGCTTTTGCTCAGGACCACATATCCCAGTATCCCTAGTCTTTGCTTTCCAGTATCAGTTCCTACTTATACCTTGTGATTTCCTAATCTGAACCACCTTCTTCCTGATATCTTCATTCTGAATGTGATGGATCATCTCACATGTGCCCTTCAGCTTGCTATTTCTTGATATGGGACACCTCCTTAATCTCACATGTCCTAGCGTGGGAAGGTGCACCATACACACTACACATGTCTGCTGGCTAAGAAATTGTTATGACCCACTTTTAAGCTGGCCAGAACAATGTATACTTGAGTTGGTGTGAGGTCCTGATTACTGATTTTCCCACCCTTAACCTCTGAGTGCAGGCTAACCACAGATTCTGCTCACTGGGGTTAGACTGGGTCTGAGATAGCCACTGCAATGCAGGGTTCTTGGAACAAAGATACTACT